AGAAATCCGCGCGTTGCAGGTCCGACCGTACGTGGACTACCTTGAACTCCCCCCGTGCTACACGCTCACGGATGAAGTGGTGGCGGATGTCGACGTGCTTCGAGTTGGGAGTAGTAGCCGGGTTACTTGCCAAGTGAAAAGCGCCTACGTTGTCCTCCCACACCAGCGTGCACCCCACATCACGGCCCGGAAAGATAAATTTCCACAGATACCGCAGAAAAATAGCCTCCTTCATCCCATCAGACATCGCCACGTACTCCGCTTCCGTCGAGAGACAGGGTGACGCTCTTCTGCGTCTTACACAGATACCTCACACACGCACCAGCGAACATCACTAGTGCCCCAGAAACAGACCGCCGGTCGGTTGCCTTGTTGGCGAAGTCCGAATCGACAAAAAGTCCCATGTGGTCTCCTCCCACCGTGCCCCTCTGAAAAGTAATCCCNATAGCCTCCTTCATCCCATCAGACATCGCCACGTACTCCGCTTCCGTCGAGAGACAGGGTGACGCTCTTCTGCGTCTTACACAGATACCTCACACACGCACCAGCGAACATCACTAGTGCCCCAGAAACAGACCGCCGGTCGGTTGCCTTGTTGGCGAAGTCCGAATCGACAAAAAGTTCCATGTGGTCTCCTCCCACCGTGCCCCTCTGAAAAGTAATCCCGTACCCGCTCGTGAATCTAACATACATCAAAACATGCAAAGCCGCCTCCCAGTGCAGTCGCTTCGGCGCGTGCGAATACCTCGCAACGGCACGCACCGCGTTGAGAATATCCGGGCGAGTCTGATTCGCCAGCCACATCAAGTGTCTCACTAGCGACCGGAAAGGCTCGTCGACATCGGGCTCACCGGCGTCGTACTGCTCAAGCTTCAACCCAACGACCATAGGTGTCTCTTTGTCCGTCGTCACACCGAACTTGGCAACGATCTTCTCCGCTACAGCCTGTTGCGAAATAGTCACCGTCCCCAACACCGTGTCACGAGAAAACCGGCAACCCGCATACCAGCGCAGTTCCCCAAGGTTGGAAATGGGCAAATACCGGTTGAGGTCAACACCAAACTGATCGCATGAGCCCGATAGAGAAGATGTCGTCTACGTGGATAACAACCACCATGGTGACTACATCNTCTCCGCTACAGCCTGTTGCGAAATAGTCACCGTCCCCAACACCGTGTCGCGAGAAAACCGGCAACCCGCGTACCATCGCAGTTCCCCAAGGTTGGAAATGGGCAAATACCGGTTGAGGTCAACACCAAACTGATCGCACCTGCTCTTGAGCCCGATAGAGAAGATGTCGTCTACGTGGATAACAACCACCATGGTGACTACATCGCTCTCGATCAGACGCATCACACACGCATCGGCGGCACAAGGCTCGAAACCAAGACTCTTCATGCCACGCATCAAGTGATGATGCCATGTGCGGGACGCCTGCTTCAGACCGTATAGACTCCGTCTCAACCGTACGACCTTGCCGGAAAAGCGCACCGCACCCAGGGGGAAGGCGAATGAACACAACCTCATCCAGTTCTGATTGGACAAAGGCTTGCTCGGCATCGAAATGGCACAAGTCCCAATCTAACACACAGGCAATGGCGGCTAGCAATCGAATGCTCGTGATGGAAGGACACGGGGAGAAAGTCTCAAAGAAGTCAACACCCTCACGCTGCGCAAACCCACGGGCTACCAACCTAGCCTTACCACGCACAGCATACCCAAACTCGTCTCCCTTCCATGAATACACCACTTGGCGGAGATGACGTTAATCCCTCGCTGCTATTCCGCCCCGACCTCCTCGAAGGTGCCCACTGCATTCAGCCCGAAAAACTCCTTGCGTTCGGCGTTGGTCCAGATGTGGTGGTGGGGCCCCGCGTGCGCCTCCCCGTATGTCTCAGGCGTCTCCAGGTCGCACACCAGCTCCATCGGCAGGGCTGGCTCAGACACGCCCGGTGCAAGAAGCTCGGCGATAGACCGCTTGATCTCGTCCTACGTGGCTAGAAGAGCAAATATCCCCGGCCCCGGCCCATCTCGCTTCGCCCGCGACCTCGTCACTGCGGGGGTCGCTACAAACTCCCGCTGCCCCTGCCGACGACGTCCGCCTGTACCGCCCTCATGCACCATCTCCGTCCACAGTCCGTCCGATGCCATCGCCGCCGAGTGCGCGGGGGCAGGTGTGGCAACAGGTGCCGCAGATGTGCTCACCCTCGAAGGCCCCCCCGTCATCCGCGCAAGTTCCGCCAACACCGCGCTGCGCGCTGCTCCGCTCGCCACCCTGCTCTCCGGCTCCGTCATATGCTCATGCTGCCGCTGCTCCGTCGCCGCCGGAGCTGCCGCCAATGCTGCCGCTCCTGCCCCCACTACGGGAACCCCGGCCATTCCCCCCGCCGCCGCCGCGGGGGGAACACTGTCACCAGAGATCACCGCCATCGCCGCTGGAGCTGCCGCCGATGATGCTGCTCCGGCCGCCACCGCGGGGCCTCCGGCCATCCCCCCCGCCGCCGCCGCGGGGGGAACACTGTCACCAGAGATCACCGCCATCGCCGCTGGAGCTGCCGCCGATGATGCTGCTCCGGCCGCCACCGCGGGGCCTCCGGCCATCCCCCCCGCCGCCGCCGCGGGGGGAACACTGTCACCAGAGATCACCGCCATCGCCGCTGGAGCTGCCGCCGATGATGCTGCTCCGGCCGCCACCGCGGGGCCTCCGGCCATCCCCCCCGCCGCCGCCGCGGGGGGAACACTGTCACCAGAGATCACCGCCATCGCCGCTGGAGCTGCCGCCGATGATGCTGCTCCGGCCGCCACCGCGGGGCCTCCGGCCATCCCCCCCGCCGCCG